CCTTCGGATTGTCGCCCTGCGACGTATGGGTCAACCCCTAACGCTCCCGCGAGCTCTAGTTTGCGACCGCAAGAGCTCAGGGCCACTGTTTGAGCTCAGCTCATGGCCCTTCTAGTTCCACGGCTATTGCCGGGAAGCGCAGGGCGTCCTGATCTTTCTGATCAGAAACGTCCACGGCGTCTGGGCAATCTTGCTAAAGTGGCGTCTCAAACTCCCACGAGTTTTCGGAGTCGGGATATTCCCGCCAATTCACCAGATATTGGGTTTGACCCTTGCGACGTCGTCGTCTCACTAGACGTTCCACGTGATAGTGGACGTCATCGTTCTCATCGAAAAGAGTCGGTGGCAGGCGGTGACTCGTGATGCTCTTCGAGCCCTTGAGGACGAAGTTCTTCGTGATCGGATCTCCGCTGAGCGTCATGCTGAAGTAGCATATCGCTGTGCGGACGCTCTTGATGATTTGAAGCACGTCGTGCGCCGGCTGCATCACCTTGAGGACAACCGCACTCTGTCGGAGCGACTCCTAGCCGTAAAGCAGGCAAATGGGTCGCTGCATGCGACGGTGGAGCGCTTGGCACCATTGGAAATGGAGGTTGTTGCACTCCGTGCTCAAAGCCAATTGCTGGGTCAGCTTCTGGGTGGCCGAGGGCCCGAGGGATCCGCTCCGGCGCCAATGCTTCCGCGTTCACTTGCGCCGGATCCCGATACGGCTTGAGCAAGCCCATGTAAAACACCGAATGGGTGCGCATCCGTTTTGGAACGTTCAGCGTATACGCTAGGCCCTGCTTAGCCACAACCTTAGACAGTCCGATAAACAATGGACGAAGCTTCGTCCTAAAGATAGTAGAGGCTGCATATGTAGGAAGGCTTTTAGAGTTTAATAAAACCTGGTCCCCGACCTTAAAGCTTTCTACTTTGTCTCTTCCTTTTTCATCTGCATTCTGCAGGTCTTGGCTTTCAGCCATCGCATCGCGAACGTGTCGTGGGACACTTAGTCTGGTTGACAAGAATTCATCGACTTCTTTATGGATGGTGAGGGGCTGACATCAGCTAGCCGTTCGGCTATTCCTCCCCAACCAATCCCTGAGCCATG